CCGGTGGGGGTGTGCTAGGACCCTCTTATGAACACTGTCAGGTCTTAGGTTGTTCATAAATCCGAATGCGATGCAGTCCCATCTTGGACCCTTTTATTGAGATGATGGTGTTTTCACATATTTTGCAAAATTCCCTCATAATCAAAGCTAAATTTTGTATTGTGCACATGATTAAAAAATGTCCATTAAATCGTAACCATACTTTTATTGTAGAAACTCAGTAAATGTACCTTCTGCTTAATATTATTTCATACTTATTACTGTTTCATACTTATTAAACATCTCTACACCTTTGCATATCATCTGAAACAAATGGTAAATTAACACGTTAAGCTAATTTATGTAAAACAAAATGACCCTTCACCTCTCTTTTATTTTCTTAACCAAGATTAGTGTTGATAACACTTATACACTCCCTCACTATGTGCATTTGTATGTACATGTAGATATTTATATTTTTAAAGGGTTCATAACTGTCAGAGTACGATAATTTTTACTGTAATAAAACTATATCGTATAGGAATAGGATTGGTCAGACATAATAACATTAGATTATTCCATTATTTTTCTCTGTTGGTTCAGTGACATGCATTTTCTAATGTTTTTAGTAATCTATAAAATGAAATAAGACCTCTAAACTTCTGAAATGAATCACTTTCAAATTTTTAACTGTGTTAGCACTTTTTAAATTAAACAAATTTAAACTCGCACGACCCTGTTGAGACAAATAAATATAGAAAACTGTAAATGCAAAACTTGTAATAGGCTAGTGTATGAGTTTTGTTTGCAAATTTAGAAACAAGTATAATTAGATGTGTAATTAAAAAGTTTAATGATATTTAGAAGTCGGGAATAAACTAAATTGATGAGTCAAAATAATTAATATTTCTTCAATAACTTTAAGAATAAGTTTATGTCTTTCACCATAATTATAGCCAAAAAGAGTAGTTATGTTATTTTAGGAATATTTATTAATTATCATTATGTTAAAAGATATTTGATTAGTGCTACAGTGAAAACAGTCTTAAGTATATCTTTATAATTGGGATACACTGTTTTCTTCTTGTGGTTTCAACCTGTGTTAGCCCAATTTATTGAGTATAAAGCTCAAAGTAAAAGTATGAACAGTATCCTTATTCCATATCCAAGCAAAGTAAACTCTTCATTTTGATATCGTATGTTGCTTTAATAATCTTGGTTCATATTAGTAACCAGTGGCTAATGATTTAAGAAATTAGCAGGCTTTCAAGACATGAGCAAGTTGCTCTGTATCCTGATCATTACAATACATGAACTTATGGAGAAATTATTACCAAACTCACTTTCCTTTTAAAAAAACAAAATCTAAATTAGCTGTACTTCTATGATGATAATTTATATCAGAGCCAGTTATAAAAATAAAGCAAACATTAGTGATTTAATTTGTATAGCTAATTGTGAACATTAAATTTATGAAAAAATAACCTTAGCGCTATCTAAACGATACAGTATGAAAGAATTCAAGCTTCAAATTAATCTGCATTTCTAACATTCAAGTTACAAATCTGTTAAAGTGAATATTAAAAAAGATTCTTTTTCAAGATGATGAAACTGAAAAGAAGAAGATAAAAATGAAAAATATTAATGACCAATAAGCTTCTTACTGAACAATTACAGTACATGTGATGGATTTTTTCTGTGAATATAACTGAACTGCAGTTCAGTCAATTGTTATATCTATAATTGACTTCTTTCTCTAAATAATGAACTGCAGGGTTTTCTTAAATAATATATATATATACCCTAGTTAAAAACATTATGAAGATATATAGATATATACACTACAAATGATGGTTAAAATGAGTGATGTGTACACCCATTGTGATATTTTCTTTGTAACTTAAACTTCATCTAATTGTGAGTTTCAAGTTATCTGATATTCCGTATTTCTGACTCCTTATTAAACCTGTGACATGATGTAAAACTAGTTTCATATTTTTTGCTTTATCATTAAATGGTAGCAATCTTTGTGGGTCCTCAATTATAGACAAATTTTATATGGCACAGTAATATAACAGAATAGCATTATTACATGCAATGTCATTATCTGTACTTATATGGTGCTTGTTACAAAGCACATCATTTTTGCCTATTGCTGTCAGATATCATTCCTGGCTAAGATATGATTTCATGACAGTAATGTACAGAAGAGGAAAGGTACATCTATGTTTTGTCGTAATAAATCCTTATGCCCTCTGTTCTGTACATGGGCTTATTCAGCAGTATGATTTGAGATTAAAGCAGCAATTGGATGGTTCTAGTAAACAATTCAACTTGAAAGATTAATGTTTTCACATGGATATAGATCTTTAAATGTCAAACTTTTATTATGATTCACAAACATAGTAGATAATTCAAACAACATGTACTAAAGCTGATATATGATACATAAAAATTGTGAATTTCTAATATTTTTTATTTATAGCAGTTTCATTTCTTGATGTTTTTTAACTTTTATTTAAATATATTTAAAAATGTGATCATTATGTACAATTAACAAATATTCATCAAATATAGAGAATTGTACCTGCATATATATACATATCTCATAAGTTTCTTTTTTTCCCTTAAATATTTAGGTACTGTTAATGATTTTGTGTAAAACTTGGATTGACTCGAGAAAAATACTCGTTATAAAATTTTTTTTTAAGAACAGTAACTCAAATATTAAATTAACTAATTGGAGCTTAAAGGCTGTAGCTCTGTTTATAGTATATATATATATAGGTTCAAAGTTTAACAAAAGCTATTCTGTCATGAATGTTTATTTTTAGAGCAGTGTCATGTAATTTTAAAGTAGTTAGTATAATCAGTAGTAAACGTTACATATTCAAAGTTGTGAATGTATTAGGGATAGGTAGAACAGTAAGTGCCTAATCCAATAACATTATACTCATATATATATATATATATTGATTTCACAACTTAAATACAGTGAATTTTTTGTACTTGTTCACAACAAAATAAAATAACAAAATGTAATGAGAGAGTAATCAAAGTGTTCATATACTGAAATATTAAAACTAAGTTCTGAACTGGCATGTGTGATATAAAAGCTACAAAGATATGCATGTTTAATATGCAAACTCACTGATATCCAAAAGGTGATTATCAACATCTGTACTAAACAACAGGTTCAGAGAATCGAAATGGTGTATTTAAGTGTTTTACAGTCACAAAAAAGAAACCTATCATTCTATAGGTATTTGAAGAATTTGTAGCATTTTGCCACAAATTAGTACTTCATAGTGGTAGTGTCCAGGGTCACTGATGAGGAGTGGAATTCTCCGAAACTAGTCTGGCTCACAGACACACTCCCAATGAAAGAATAGACCATTCCAAGCTTGTACTTGTTGTTAAACAAATGTTTAAATAACTCTATTCAATTAGGTTCAGAGAATGTTTTG